GGGCAAAAGAGTGAGACTCTGTCTCAAAAAAAAAAAAAAAAAATCAAAATAAAGCATACTGTTGATTAGTAATTGTTAATTTATTGCTTGAACTAGATTTCCTAATTTTTATGTTTTATGGTCCTCTTCCTAATCACATGACTCTCATACCACTTTTTAAAAAAATAGTAATGTAGGTTGCTAGATTTGCTAAATATGGCAGTAAACAGTGCTGAAGGTACAGAGGAATGTGAGGTTTTAACTGACATTCTTACATAATTCAATATATCTCAGCAGAATAGATTTGATGGCTGTAATTACTGTTTCAAATGAAATTGATAGGAATAGTTGGGTTGATGACCAGTACTTCATTTCTTATACTTTTCAGATGTAAACATAGCTGATCTTTTTTTCACATTCACTTGGGCTTATATTTTATTTCAATTTCGATGGATGTAATATTCATTGTACAAATGAGAGTAATTGGAAATGTTTTGATCTAGAGAATGCAGCACTCTCCCGATTTAATGAGCTTTATGATGGAGTTGAAGATGGTTTTGGTAAGTTTTTTTTTCCTAACACTGTTACCATATTCTAAGTCTTGATTTTGTTTCTGTAATTGCTTTAAAAACTAACATTATTAGAATTTAAATCTTCTCAACTCCCAGTCATTTAGTGTTTTATTTTACTGTATGTATAAATATTGATGGTACTTTTCTTGAACTGCATGAGGGACAGAACTGTGCATAGGAACCACTTTGATTTTATCATAAACTGAATACCCTTGACACTAGTGTTGGGCAGGTGATAAAGAAATAAAATATACTTCTGTCCTGTCAGAGAATTTAACATCTAAGGAGAAGTTAGATAGTCATACTTAAAGATATAGTATGATATATGTAGATAGGCACAGATGTCTGAAACAATTGTTAGGCTTCATTTCTTATATATAGTTACATAACAGTTTATTCAATTAATCGATTTTTGTGTAAAATACTTGATTTATTTAGTTTACACTGTAGACATTTTATTATCTTTGTAAAAAAAACTTTGTATTACCAAAGTTTTCAACATAAACAAAAGAATAGGGAAGATTATAGTGAATACCTATGGGCCTATGACCTAACTTCAACATTTTGCCAGTCATATTTCTTCTCCTATGATACTTTTCTAGAGAAGGGGACTAGAGTATTTTAAAGGAAATCCTTGACATTGTAGTCATCCCTCCATAAATATGTCACTCTGAATCTCTAACAGCTAAGTGCTTTTTGTCTGTTTTTAAATATACTATTATAATTCCAACAAAGGTAATGATAATTCCTTATAGCTACTTTGTTTGTATTACTATCCAAATAATAGGCATGGCTGCATGCCAATAAAATTTGGCTTATATTTAGTTAATATGTGTCTTAAGTCTTATATAAGACTTATAAGATCACTTAGTTTGTTGAAGTTTCTTCTCTTTACCCCACCTTTTTTTTTCATTCCATTTAGTTGTTGAATAAACCCAATTATATGTTCTATAAAGTTTCCCACATTCTGGATTTGGTTTGTTATATATCATTCTTTGTAATCTGGCAGTTAGATTTGGAAGTCTCAGCAGATTTAGGTTCATTTGTTCTGATAAGAGTACTTGGTGCTCTGTATTTCTTATTATATTGCATCAGGATACATATGATGTTTGATAGTTCCTCTTTCAGTAAAGTTAAGATTGCTCAATAGGTTTGGACACATCTTAATACAAAGTTTCGCATAAGCGTGTCATCTAGTGGTTTCGACATCCAGTGATAATCATTCCCTACATCCACTATTTCATTAGGGTTTACAAATGGTGATTTTTAAAATTCCATCATCTGCATTTATTAGCTGAAAATCTTCTGTAGAGAAGAATTTACCCTCATCTGTTATTTGCTTAATTTGAGGCACAACTCATACTGCAGAGACAGGATAAATACTTGTTTCTTTTTCCTTTTTTAAAAAATCAATTTATCGAATAATGAATTGGTGCCTAGCAACTGCCACAGGGAAGTAAAGATTTCCTTTTTTTTTTTTAAGTATTAGTATGAACTCATGGGTTTTTATATTTTTGATTAACTTTATTTAATCCATTGCAGTCATTTTCTTTTTTGATGTTTAAATTGTCCAATTTTTGGTCAGTGTAAGCCCCTTCATGTTGGCTCCTGAGTTCTTTTAATTTAACCCAAGCTTCTTTGCATTCTGACAGAGTTGCCCTCAGGCTTATTTCCTCATCCTATCCAGAACTGTAATCAGCCATTTCTCTAAAAAGCCATGTTTTCTTTGTGGGTATTTGGATGCCTCAATCTGGAAACTGGAGTGTTCATTGCTATTACTTCTAGGCATTTTCAGTGGGCAAAGTTAAGAAAAAATACTTTTTAGAAAGAGTATAATTACTCATGA